ATGGCTGCAGCTGCCAGAGATTATTTGGCTATACCAGCATCTGGGGTATCAGTCGAAAGACTGTTCAGTGGGGGAAGAGATCTCTTAGGAGTGCGGAGGAGCTCAATGAGTGCAGAGACTATGAGGCGTCTTATGATGCTGCGAGATACATGGAAATAGCTTCAGAGATTTACGAATAATTACGAATAATTACGAATAATGCGAATATTATTCGTACGAATATTAGTAAGCGGAAATTCTAAATTTTATTCGTATTCGACTACGAATATTCGTACGAATATTCGTAATCGAATATTCGTGTCCAGCCCTACTCCTCGTACAACGTTTACCAAGTCTAAGTTCAACAAGGCCCAGGTCAACCAATTCATGTCACTATTACTCTGGTCCTCGAGGAGAACGAGAACTAAGGAAACGAGAACATGTATCATGTCAGGGGCAACGTTGGGCTTAGCGTGGATGGTACCTGTGTTTCTTGCAAATATCGAAGTAGGATCACGACCAGTGGAAGTTCCAGGGGGTCTAGAGCTAAAAATGGATAACTACAGATATCGTGGACAACGCATTTATGAAAAGTAAACTGGAGGCGAATTAGTATATCCCGGAACTCTAGTTTCCATAACTAACTTAGTGGATACTGTAATAATATGCACAATCCAAGATATCAACTGTTGTTTTTGAGGTATATTATAATTGCGTATGCCTGTCCAGGCAGTGCCTTCAGCTTGATCAGATAGGATACAATATCCGAACCATCCTAAATTCTAGCACTTATACAGCGATGCCGCACAACAGGGCTTCCACCCCTCACTCAAGCCTCCTCCCCCAATCTCGCTAACTCCTTGCTCACGAAATCCTGCGCATTCAACAACTCCGTGCTTCCATACACCACCCGTTTCTTCGGCCCTGTCGCCGTCGCCGGCCCACCGCCGGCACCCGTCCGCGTCGCCCATTCCTGCAAGTTTCCATACTCGTCCATGCTCCCACCTCCCACCGTGAACACGATCGCCTCCGCAAACCCCTGCCTTCGCTGCCCAAAACTCGCCTCGATGCCCCTCGACACGCCCGGCGCCCCCGGAGCCTGACTCCGCGCCTGGCTGGCCGTGGGCACGATGCCCCTCGCCGTCGAGCTGCGGGGGTCGAAGAACAGATAGTTCTCGGTCTTAGCGATGGCAGAGGAGGAGGCGTTCTGGGGGTCCATCAGCGACTCGGTGATCTTGGTGAGGGTGAAGTCCTTGTCGGCTGGCAGGAAGTTCTTGACGCCGGAGATGAGGTTCTCGAAGTTGGCGCTGATGCCGACCTCTTTGAAGCGGTCGGTGAAGCGGGTGGACATGGAGGAGAAGCCGCGGAAGAGCTCGGTGGAGGTGGATTGCGTGGGTTGGGAGGGGGCGCTGGACATCATTGTCATGCGGGTGAGACCGCGGACGCTGGGAGGAGGTTAGATGGGGCTTAGGGGATGTTTACTGGATTGACTCACCCGTTGATGTATGCTAGCGAAGCCGTTTCAGCACCAGCGGTTTTCAGTGCCTCCTCGAAACGCTGGAACTCAGCGCGGGAGACCTCTTGTTCCGTGCTTAGGTACCAGATGATGAATAGACGAAGTTTATCCAAAGGGTCTTTGCCTTTGTCCTGGTCGGCGATGAGCTCCATGATTTGTGCTTTGGTCTGTTTCAGAATGGTTTCCTCCAGCTGGTAGTAGTTATCCAGCTGGCGCTCTTTGATTCCGGTCAACAAAGCTGTAGCAATGCTCATATGCATATCCAAGATGCCCTTCCGCTCCCGGAGCTCCGGCAACTGAGTTATTGCAGCTTTGAGATGATGAGCAGAAGCACTGTTGTCTCCATCGAGGTCTTGTATTGAGTTGACACCAGTCTTCTTCATGATCTCGTCCGCATCTTCCTTGTACTTCGTGAGTTCGTTGTCGATATCCTCCGCTACTTGCGGAAATGGGACCGGGGCATTGCGATTCCAGAAGAAGTCCTTGGAATCCAAATGGAAGTTCTTCTTTTCTACTCCTCCACTCGGGTTGGTTTCGTCCTTTGGTACCTCGACTGTGATCCTGTTTAGGCGCATTTTGAGGACATCATGTACTAGCGACTGATAGGTCCACGAGTGAGATAGCATGGGGATCAAATCGACAGTGCGGTCAACAATGACGAGAACAGGTCGAGATGATTGTGCTTCAGCAGACTTCGACTGGGATCCGCTGGAAAATAGGTTGTCTTTCGAGTTCAAGATATGATCCCGCAGTTTTCTATCGAGTTTTGCAGATATCATCTCAGCTGCGCCGCCTTTTGGACACCGGATGATTGGTATTGATCCTGAAACACATAATGTCAGTAGGGCTCCATAGCAGGGTATTTGTTAACATACCCATTGTGACAACTACACTGAACAGCCCGCTGACCACCTTGTCCACAGTTGCGTCCAATTCCTCATCCGGTGTCTTGGCACTGTTCATGGCCCAGTATACGCCGCTTCCCAGCCCCAGACTGAAGAGGTCCGGCTCCGTGACAATGAAATTGAGGTATTGGTCGTATACTTGAGCGATGTGCTCTGTTGTCCCTGTCTTCGCGGATTCTGATGCGAAATCCTCGAGTAATTGCCGGGGTATCGAATGTAAGCAGTTGATGTAGGCAGGAGAGTAAAGGTTTCGCGCAAGGTCGGATGTGATGATCTGGAGGTTCGGCAAGGTCGGTTCGACAAGGTAGATGACGGGTACATCTGGTATTGATGCTCTTGTGGTGTTTATATTACTGCGCATCTGGTTAGCATGGCTTGTAGGTGCGAAACCGCGAACCGCGAACATACAGATGGATCGTGATGCCGCATTCTCTTAGGTCTTGCACGCGCATAACGCTGCTGATAATGTCCCTCCCCATGTTGTCGAATACAAGGACTTTCCATATTGGCAGACCGTTCTCGTCAACGAGTGATGAGGAATGGGGAAGTCCACCATTCGCTTGTTGGTCGTGTTCGTCTTCTTGTGACGCTGGAGGCTCGTGGTTCAGGTTCAGCATGCGCACAATTGAGCCTATACGTATATCAGTACATATTAATACATTTCATGGAATTCTGTCCACTCACGCAGCTGCCGATCCCGCAGTGACAGCGACGTTGACGCCATGTCGGACATGTTTCGTTCGATCGCGATGTTCAATCAGGCGTTCCCGACATGTGTTTGTGGATTGGCTATCTGAATTTAAAGAGCATAGCTCTGAATTGAAGCTGGCTTGTACTTTTTAAGCTCCGTAGGCAATGAATGGTCACAGAGTAGACGTATGAGGTGTCCCTTTCTTCTTCAACTTCAGTTACGTAGCAGTTCACGCTGCGTTGATACCTGGATCTTGGATAGAGAGGAAATAAGGTAGCAAGGCAACAAGGAATCAATACATCATCCCCCATTATTTTGGATCATGTATACTTCCGGTTAGTTCAACTCGTCTCTTCCCATACTAGGAACATTTCAGTATTGCCATTGTTTAAACAACAAATTATTATTCTCTAGTAGTCATACATTGAAAACTGACAAGATCCAGATATGCCATTCTGGCCACTGCAACAATCGCTGGATTGCATAGCAACGCAGGGACCAAGACTTATCTCAGCCTCTCATACATTACAATCCATGCTACTTGAATGACTAAGTAATATCTGCCAAGCAACGACGAGATAACGTGACCGCTCCACCAAGAACGAGTCTCCTGCTCCTCGCAATCTCCCAACTTCTGGAGAGCTTCATCAACATTTTCCATCGAAAACTCGTCCCAAACCATCCTCTAAGTGCCTTAAAGTGACCTCTTTCAACCCTAACTCTTGAAATCCCTTTCTCCTGCTGATTTGGGAAGCCCCAGACTCGTGAATGGAGGTGTGTACTCGTTAATCGAGGTTGTGAGGTTGGGGTTGCATGGCCGTGGAGGACTCATTTCTCACTCATTCCTGCAGCCAAGGAGAGCTCAAACCCAACATAAATTCGTTGCTGAAGTTGTCTAAGACTTCTAAAGGACGAACCATAAGATCGTGCTATCCATCTGCATTCCCTGGGAGCGGGATGCAGCGCCGATGTTAGTGAAGCCGTCATTCTAGTTCTAAAGGACTGCTTGGTTGCGGCCGCGACATCGTGTAGGCACAGAGCCCAAGGCACAGGTCTGCTTTCTGAGAATTAAGGCGCTCTAACTTCCTGTGAGGAAAGCATCGTATGAAATCAGAGAAGGCATAGTCCTGTCTCGGAGTTCCGAAATAATATCGTCCAACCCAACGACGGGCTCACAGGAGCAAACCTGTGGTCCCTGTCGAGTCGACTTGGTGCATACGGTCGTGCCGTGGAGGAGTGTGCTGGAGAGCCCGAGAATCGCGTCTTCGACAGGGAAGGTTCCCTCTGGATAGCCTGTCCGACGCATCAAATTGGCACCAGGACCGACTTGGACGTTGCCTGGGTGTTAGGGCATTTTGGTGTTGTGTGAAAAGTGGTTTGGCGACTTACGCGCAAACGGTCCGCCGAGGACCCAACATTTCAGTCCTTTTCTTCCACGGGCTGCATCCTTTCGCTCCGCAACCCGCTTAAACTTCGGTAAAACATCAACCCGGCATCGATCGACCCCTACACCAACTTGCAGCCATGGCTTCAGATCATGGCCCTCCTTATACAGGAGATGATTTGTTGCTCAATAATACCTTTCCCAACACTGAGAACAATTTTCAGGGAGGATATGGTCAAGGGCTGTATCAAGATAACTTGAACTGGAACGATCAACAATCAATATGGCAACCGCATCAGCAACCTCATCAGCAACCGTCTTCAACCGAAGGGCAGTATAGCCATACGGTGCCTTATTCCTCAGGATTCTTACCTCATGATCCAAATCAATTCAGCGATCCTACGCTGTCTGGTTCTCCCTTTTCTCATGTTGATGCTGCTGTGGACCCATCCCTGTATGGATCGTCGACTGGATATGCGCTTCAAGCCGCTCAGGGTGGCCACTTCGAAACCTACCAGCAGCCGTCCTACCAACACCCGTCAGTCCTGGACGATTCAAATGATTTGACTGCTTTTCAATCCAACGGATCTTCCAACGTTTACCCGAACCATGCGACTGTCGGGCAGCTCCAATCGCAACAGGTATGATCACGTGATCACCCCCTGAGTTCTCCATACTGACAGTTAGATAGCCGCGAACATCGAGTCCGTTTGCACAGCATGACGCTCGATGCTCCCCATCACTTTCACATGGATCTCCTGCTCAAAAGACAGCATCCCTATCTCAGCTTCCTCCGACCTTCAAGAAAGACGGAAGCTTGACTGCATCTCAAGCTCTCAGCCATGGCAGTCCATATCAAAACCATCTGTCCATTGCACAAGGCCCTTCACGGGCATTCACTCCCAGTCAACTGTCCGGCGCTGGATCCCAGGCCACACCCCCACCGGGCAGCAGCAATGTCCGTATTCAACAGCAAAACCCGGTGCCGTCGATGACATCGACCAACTTGCGCACCATTGCTCCGCAGATGACGAATCCCCAGCAATATGCAATGATCATGCCCTCCGGCTCCTCTCTGTCGCCTTCCGTCACCCCAAACCAACAATTCACAGGTGCCCAAGTGGCACCGGGACGCACAACGTTGGGTGCTGAGGGTGAGATATCGGCGGCGGTATCCGACAAATCGCAGGAGACTCTCGCCCCTTTTGTGAGAGTTCCGAAGAGCCACCAAGTGGGGAAACAGTTCTCCAAAGATAGGAAACAGTTCTCTATCATTGATAAAATTGACCTTCCACAGGATCGGAAGGTGGAGAAGATAATGAAGTTCGCTGACATCCTAACTGGGACGGTTAAGCTGAGCTGGTCAAAAGGTGAGGGTGTCCACTCCCCTAACATGTCAAATTTTCAACCCGTACTAATTCTTCCAAGGTGTGATCAAGTCGGATAGTTTGAAGAAGGAGCGATTCTCCTATGCAGAGGCTGCGAAGATCAAAGGTAGTAGTGTCGATGCCCTCAAAAGCGCCACAGGTAGGTGGATTTAAGTTCCTTCAATTGCCCGTGTGTTACGGCTTAAGCACGTGTAGGGAGTGTGCCCCTAATCGATATGTGGTTCGAGCACCTCAGCACGTGACCCATGCATTCATCCCTAGATACACGCTTTCACTGTTATTTTTCTTCTTGAACTTGAAAACTAACATTGATCTTGCAGTAGCCAGTAAATCTCCCATAGAAAAGGCCAAGAAGGGTGCCAAACCCATTGGACAGATCGCTGCCTCTGAGTCCGAAGACGCCGAGAGCTCGGAGCAGTCGGATGAGAGCAGTGACGACTCGGAACCTGAATCGGTTGAAGAAATGGAGGTATCCCCTTTGCCTGGTCAACGTCCCAAGGAGCCGCTGGAAGCTATTAAATATGACACCATCAAAGCGCTATGGAAGCCGAAGAGGCAGCCATTAACGGGCGCAGAGGTTAGAGGGTGTCTTGGCATGTACTGGGTGGTCATCAGTGCCATCCGTGATCGTTGGAAGAAGGACAAGGGCGACTACGATGCTGCTGCTACTGATGCCCTGAAGGCTAGCATCAAATCCAAAGTGGATTTTCAACGGAATCAGCTTGAGGTGGCGTTTAAGGCTGCTCAGGAACATGGCCACCCGCAAATCATCTCGAGGTAAGTGCTTTCACCAGTTTTCACACTGCCGCCCATCGTATTCCTTTGCTTTGTCCTGGACAGCTGTGGATCAAGAAGCTGTGCAGTTCAATGCTAGAGAGGTCTGGAGTTATGTGGCGAGTACACGATATAGTACTGAGTCGCGAGATGGCTTCTGTGTGTTGGCTATGATGATCTGTAACTGACTATAATTTCTACTTTAGATTTGGGACAGATGCTTCCTTCCTTACCTTGTTCCTCTCTTTCATGGCCGACCGTGTGAACCAGAATGACTACGCCGGTGGTCTCCTGAAGGCTGCATTGGAGGTAAGGTTTTTTTCCTAAAGCACTGGACTTGGTTACTAATTTAGAAAATGGTCTAGCTACTTGCACGAAGCCCTTCGATATCACGAGAAGTCACCACAGGAAAAGGAACTGGCAAAACTTGGGACAAGGTGATGGCCAGGATCGAGAAAAAGGGAGATGAGCAGACGAAGAAGTTGGCACAAAGTATCCTGGAGGTTGCAAGGAAGAGTAAGTTGTCTGTTGGCTCCCCGACGATGGCCAACAATGATGGGGTTAATGCCCTTACTCCATCCAACCCACCGGTGTCCACCAAGCCAGCCACTATCGTGAGGGCAGCCCCATCCGTCGCTGGAGTAAAGCGCTCGCTTGATAGTGATTCAGCCAAGCATGTTCAAGGGACACCATTCGCATCTGGCGCATCAAAAATGTCGACCGTAACCAAAGGGGTTGGAGTGCAAGCATCTGGTGTTGGCCCATCCAAAGTTGTAAAGCATGGTCCAGGTTCTGTCAGTGCATCACTTTCGGGGCCCAAACAGGCTGGAAATATGTCAATGCTCAGTGGGAGGGCTGCTGCAACCAAGTCCGGCGTAATTCCAGTGAAGCGATCAGCAGCTGTGTTATCAGGGAAGGATGGTGAACCGGGAAGCTCAAAATTGGCCAATGCTGTCAAAGCAAAAGCAATGGCGAAGGCGCCAAATTTATTCACGTCACTTTCGTCGGCATCGAAAAAACCATCAGCTTTGGCTACTCCCGCTGCTACTGCTAAGGACAGGGAAAGGGATACATTTGTCGCGTGAGTAATGCCATTGAACTGAAATTCACCCATGCTAACCATTACCTCAGTAAGGTCCCTGAGAAACCAGCGGGCCCGTCCAAACCAGCTTTCTCATTTCGAGATACCATGGAGGAGCTGACGAGGGAAAAGGTGGTGGAAAAACCTGCAAAGAAGGAGCCCGAGGGACCTCCGGAGACACCTGAAGAGAAGGCTAAGCGAATGAGAAAGGAATCAAGACGTCATCTTCGCGTGTCCTGGCCTGTGGATGAGATGCTCGTAGCGGTCCGTGAGTTCAAAAGCGATCCTTCCGAGAGAAGCCTCGATACAAACATGGACGTCGATCTCAATGACATGAGGAGTGAAGGTCAAGTGTTGAAACGACATGTTGATGTTGACGAGGAGGTGGCGATGGCCGAAGCTCTAGATCTGCCGAAGGAGGAGGATATTCGGGAGTGGACCACGCCTTCGAGTACGAACTACCCTGCACTTATCGCTTTGGATCTGAGCACTGACTATTTCCCCTATCTAGACATTGACTACTCGGTGCTTCCCAAAGAGGCGGCAGAGAAAAACACGACCATCTACGGTGGCAAAACACCCATAGTCTCTCCAGACGACGAAGAGCAGAATCATCGAGAGTCCACAACACTCTTGGTGCACTACCTGGATCCTTCCGACATCCCTCCTACACCTCGCGAACCTCGCAAGCAAGATGCCGGTGAGAATGTCAAAGAACCTGCTTCCATGCAGCTCCCCGACTGGGTAGTGGTGAGTTTTCGCACATGACTGAACTACTGTTTTGCTAACGACATCCACAGAATCGTGAAGTTGAGAGGGGATATCTTCCTCCGTCGGAACTCATGCCCGAGGCCCCGGACCACCATGAAGCTTCTCGTCGCCACTGGTTCGAATCTCGAAGTCGTCAGACTTATGTCTCCACCGAATACCAGAAGCAGCAAGCACAACAGGAAAGAGATCGAGAGCAGCAATCGAAGCAACAGGAGCAACAACAGCAAGCCAGCTTGGAAGAAGTCTTTGCGCGATTCGCCGCACCTAACTCATCTTCAAGCGCGGCGCCTCAAGATCCAACCCCCGCCCCTGCTGTTGATCTGAATTCCCTGCTCGCCGACCTTCGAAACCACGGCTACATCTCGACTGAAGCGTCTGTGGCGCCTTCATATGACCAATCCCATTACTCGAATGCTCAAGCGACATCGGGAAGTGCACCAACAGCAACCGGAGCTGCAACTACGGGTGGCGTGAATTCTGCAGAGGTATCAGCGCTCCTAGAGCAATTGAAAGCCAGCACACCGACTGGCCCTCAACAGCAGCAAGACGCTCAGGCCCAGAATCCATGGGCCCAGGGATACTCCGCACAGTATCAACAGCAGTATTACAGTGCGAATCCCTACTATCAGACGAACTACAACCAGCCGCCGGCACATGAAGAGGAAAGTCGACGACGCCCTCGAGAGCCGGAGATGGATGATGGGATGGGAAACCCGGCAAGGAAGAAGTTCAAGCCCGCCGGCAACCCGGCAAAGAAGTTCACTCAATCATGCCGGTTTTTCGCAGAAGGCAGGTGTCTCAAAGGCTCTGAATGCACCTACCGCCACGATCAAGTTTGATCCAGGTCGATTGCGCATCCGGTGGTTGACATCGCTGTGCCTTTCACACAAATGTATCAGCACATACACGAGGCTATGAATACCTCCCTTCTTTCTTTCAAGCATCGCGATCCGCATTGTATAGGACTATAAGGGTTTTCTTTCACACGGGTTCGGGTTTCCACGTTCGGGAACAAGCGTCGATTTCATTGCATGGATCCAGGGATACCCGCCTTGACAGGCATCGTCTGCAGTTCCATCTTCTATTCCTGCTAATAGAAGTCTGTCTCCCTACCTGACTCTACGATGCGTCGTAAAGTCCGTATAGTAAGGTGGACAGCCCATTGCATGAGTCTCGGAGGATGATATCATCCTGGTTTTTCGGTCACAGATGTACATTAGAATCCGCCAATCAAAAAGCAGTTTCAGATAAACTGTGTTCTTCCTGATGCACATGGTGGTTGGTTGGTCTCATAGAAGATCAGTCGTGATGTCTTCAAAGCTATGCCGAATGCCATTTTGTGATTTGGTCTAATATACAAGATCCATGTCTTCGGCCCCATGGACTTTGGCCCTCCTGAACACCATACAAGTGCTCAATAGAAATGTCCCTCCCATCCCCTCCCATCCCAGGATCAAGTAGATCCGATGGCATGCATTGACCACTGACCCCATTGTAATAATTGCCTGCTGCCCGATTTACATGCTGGTCTGTCTATTCTATTCCGAATATGTGGCACCGTCTTCATTGACTCGGCATCATCTGTCGACGGACGGCTCTGAGCCTCTATGAACGCTTCACATTCCTTCTTGCATTCATCCCGTGGCTCTTCATCCTCCCCTCCCCCCGAAGCAGACGATTCGGCACATCGGTGCAGTGGTAGCATCCGCGCGTGAAGTGGGCGCATTGCGGTTGCCCACGACATCAGAGGGTCTTGTCTTCTGGAGCTTGTGCGGTCACAGGCGGAGTTGGCGTGGTTGGGAGCATGCTCCTGGGAGCTGGGGCTCCATCATCAGGTATGGGTCCGAGGGAGGACCGTGGGGAGCAGGGGGGTGGAGCGCCTCCAAACTGGAGGCCTAAATCGCAAGGCTGTCTGTCTGTCCTGTTCCGAAGACACTGCACAAGGGATTGTGACATGAATTTCTTGACTCATTGTAGTGCGGGATATATACCTCTCGTGTTCGGTGTGGTTCATCGGTGCTTCTCTGCATGGAGGGCAGAAGTGACGGGACGCCGAGATGTCGCAGGGGGTGTCGGTATTATCGAAGCGTGTACAGGGGCTGTGAAAATGGTCATCCTGCTCGGAACCCCCTTTTTCGAAGCAGTGAAGTGTCTAGCACCCCAGTGCACCTGAGAAAGAGTTCGATCAGAGTGTGTCTCAAGCCGAGCAAGTCGATGTCTTCAGAACCATATCTAGTTCTCGTGTTCAGGGGTTAAGCGGCGATTCAGAGCCGATGATTACGCAGAACTGTGAGCTGGGTGGTAATTCCGATCGTGGCGCAGAACAGGGGGCGGCTAGTGGGACTCAAAAACTCGTGCTCTAGGTGTGGAAGAACTTGACGGCGTTTCATCTTCGACTTCCTCCTCCAGTCTGCGTGAACAGAAGTCGCACATGTATTATCGACTTGCCGAACTAAGAAAGGCCAGTACTTACGTCGAGACTGGGAATATGAGTAGAGAAGGTAGCGATCAAGAGGTTCAGGCGCTCTGCAGATAAGCTTCAGGACCACTAATAGTTTCTAGCCTAGAAGATTGCCACCGTACAATTGAGAGAGCTCGACGTACTGGGGGTACGCTCCAGGATCGTTAACACTGTGTACTCCAGGATGATAGCGACTGGGAGATTCAGAGCTTTTGCTAGCCTGATAGTATGCTTCAGGGCTAGCTATTTCTTCCAGTCCAGGAAGGTAGCGACCATAGAATTGGAGTTTCGAGCTGCTTGGTATCCTTCACCACCATTAACTACTAGCCTTTTTGGGAAGGGAGCGACCGTAGGATTCGGAGTTTCTGACGCCCTGAGGTTCTGCTTTGGAGCAGGAATTCCTTCCAATCTAAGAAGCGAATGACCATGCGATCCAGAGATTTCGAGGCCCGGTAGGAATGCTTCCGGAGGTCAAGACATATCTCAAGAGCGGGGATATGAGGTAAGAAGGGAACAATCCAGATCGTTCGACATCTTTGGACATGCTTCAGGGCCATTAAGATCTTCCCATCAGATCGTCCGTGCCGATGAAGGAGGGGTCCCAATTGGAGTTGCCTTTAGAAAGGTGAAAAAGGATTTTGCTGAGGCAAATACCAAGTCCTTGTTGTGGAAGTCCCAGTCAGCCAGTGTACGGTGCTGTCGGTAATTCAGAATAGGAGCCTGGAGCAAGACTGCCTTCGAAGGCCGCACAACCACCACTGCATGTCCAAAATCCGCACTCATTCTCACGAGCATCCCATCCCATTACCGACATCCTCCCTCAACCAAGCTACTAAGAACAAGGATTCCGCATGCTAGCAATTATGGGAAGAGGTGGGTACAACCGTACCCCAGAGGCTAGTGAGGTCAAAGAATTCGTGCTGGTCCTCCCGGACGCCACTGAAAGACAACACCTCCCCATTCACAAGACCGATCACATCCCAATAAGCCCATCTATACACTTTCATCATCTCTTCCATCTCGAGCCTCATTCAGCCTCGATTCTAGAGTCGTGGTCATGTTCTCCATATTCCAGTTCGTCAGTCACTGTTTCTCCAGTGGTTCTCCCATGTACCCCTGGGTTTCGGTCGGCAGCGGTGCAGGACTGTGCTTTCCCAGAATGCTGGACAAACTCAACGACTGACAGATCCTCCAGTGGGTATAGATAGATTTCTTGCCAGCCTTCACACTGCAGACTTTGGTTGTTGTCGCCCATTCCGTTCAGCAAATTCGCCTCTTGAGGAACCCGGTCTCAATTCAAAGCCTTACCTCCATCAACAGCCCCCAGGCTCAACGTAACCACTCCGACGTCACTAACAGTGAGTCACAATGGCTCAGAAGGTTCGAACAGCCACCCGACCTCGCAAGGCTCGACGAGCCTTGATCGAATCTAAGCTTATATTTAAGCTTGGATGCAAAAACGTCCGATCGCTTTGTAAGTACTCGACTTCTCCATCACTGACAGCTCCATCATTCAGTCCTAGGAGCCTCATTCTGCCATGTTCGATGAACGCACCAACTCCACGTGGGTCCTGCGCTGATAGAACTCCAATGGGGTCAGTCAGTCAATCGTCTCAATCGTACGCTGACGAGAATTATAACAGTGAAAAAGATAGCCTGCTTCCGAGCCGGGGAGACGGAATGGGGCATCCCACCTCACATCGCCGATCCTAAGGAAAGGGATCGAGCTGTCCGAGACGAGCGTAGGAAGAGATGTCAAGCGTTCGTTGAGTCCCAGAAGCGGATGGCTTGCGAATACTATGGGGATGCCGAGTCGATCACAAAGGTACTTTGCGGCTTCGAGGCTTGTCATAAGTTGAGATAGCTGATCCGAGTCGTATCTTCAGCCGCTCGACCTCGACTCCAACGAGATCTTTATGCGAAGGAACGACTCCTGTGTTTTCTAAAGGCAACACTCATAAAGATCTGCCGACATGGAACAATAGTCGAGACGAAGCGCATATGATCCGACGGCGGCCATTTTCTGGACTGACACAGCATAATCGTTTCGTCCGAGCACTTTGGCAAACAACAAACAATGGGTTAAAGGTGAGTGATGCTCCGCGTGCCCTCGATACCCATGGATTCGAGCCAGCGTCTTTTCTTTGAAGCACAAGGCTAACATTGTCGTCCATACAAGTTGGGATGAGAAAGTCGAGGAATCCGAGGACACCAGAGGTGGAACCAGTCCAAACGAATAGTTATGTTACGAGGAAGCATCTTCGAATGCATAACGCTAGCGTACTGTAGAGAATCGAAAGCTGTCGATGACAGATCCCTTCAGCTCTGGAGAAATCGTAAGCTTGAATGTCACCGTAGACATATTCAATCCCATGGCAGAAACACGACGAAGGTGGAGCTCCATCGTAAGGCACGACCGGCCCGTATACGAACAGCGCAACGCTGCAATATCGCTATACATTGCTTGGTGCGGGGTCAATTCGATTGCCAGGATGAGGCCAAAGGTTGTGAGAGGACATGGAACCGGTGAGTAGCCATCATGGATCCAGAGAGATGGCCAGAGCAGCTGCAGAGTGAGTGTTCCGCAGGTCAACAACGCCGTTGAGGATCTCCGGCCACCCTTCCCTCTGATGGCATCGTGGACGGAGGGATCCTGGCCCATGAGACGATCGTATCCTCTCCTTAAGCAATGTTCCGCATTGGACTTGAAGTAGTCTAGGACCGGCAGGACATAATATCAGAGAGTGGCTGCAGGGATGGCCGCCACCAGCATGGTCTTCTGTTGCGTAACCAAAACCCTGGATCGCTGCGTAGGTCCGCGTGATGCTTTCTCCATTGCTCAGCTAACGAGTTTGTGTTCGTAATCCACACAGGGGAATTGCAAGATAGGCTAGTCCTGCTTTGGATAGGTTCCGCATCGTGTGCATTTTGTCCAACCAGGCTCTGCAGCACTAAGGTCTGGCATCTGGGCATCTCCCGACCACTTGCTATCGCGTCTTTCTAGCTCATTCATCTGATGACGATCAGATGGCGAAAGAATGCTTAATAGGCGTCGAATTTAACTATTGCGAACAGGATATGCTGCACCGTTGAGGGCGGCAAATCCGTTCCTCGATTCGGGATTCTCCTCGTTCTGAGCAGGATAATGGATCCACAATACTTTCGCTCAACAGACGATATCCCTGCGGCCGTACTGCTCAAAGAAAGCCAATGCCCTCACCTGGATGATGGTGGAGGGCGGGGAGTGTGCAGGCGAGAGATATTTCCTGGCAGGCGTAATATGGTGAGTCGTGTATCCTGTGTCTTCGTCCTCCGCGAGGGCCCAATGATCAACGATGGATGAAAAGTCTGCTAATTGGAGCACGTAACGGCCACCTTGCAGCCACCTTCCTCAAAGCACCGGGAATTGGGTTGTTGTTGGGTTGCCCACTGAAAGGGGGATGTTTGCAGCTCGTCATCCTGGTCTCAATTCCATTAAGGCATCGAGAAATCTTGCCCTGTTTACCCCAGGTCCAGCCCAGGCCGCCCCAGGGAGACTCTAAAATGCCCAGCTAGCAGCCGTTGATACCCAGGTGCCAGGCGAACCGGATTCGACGTGCAGCGGGGTTTTCTAAACCTTCTCGCAGACTCGCACCACTACGCCGTTGTTGGGCTAATGCTCTCCGCATTTTCATATCAGGCCCCTGATCCTTGGACGGGACCGTGCTTATGCGTCCAGAAAGCATTCAAGGGCTTTTGACGCCATGGGGTTCTGGTCGCTAACAGCTGTCAAGTGCCCGCCGTTTCGTTCGTTCTTGTTCTGGCCTCCTTCGTCCTCCATCTGATCATCCCATCAAAACCGTTCGGAGGGATGAACTAGAAAGGGTCCAACATTCGATACCGATTTCGTTGATCGTGATCGGACAGCGTTCGTCGGTTACATGCCGCATTGTGTCTTCATTTTGCCTCTTTTTGTTGTTCCACAAACCAGGCCGCTAATCGCTGGCGGACCATTCGGATCACTGTGGTGCCGCGGCTTGGACCAGCCCCACATTATAGCGAAAGTTGGGGAAAAGCTGCCCTGCACGGTCGAACCACACGTCTCATCTCGCCGCGAACTTCATCTTTCATCCTTCTTTTCTTCGCCAACTATTGTTCCTTCGCGAGGTATTGCAGCGCTCCGCTATTGACGAGGGTGAACGAGAGGTGGAGCTAGTTGCGCCGTGTATACTTCCAGAGTCGCTTTCTCGACGAAAGCGACAATGCGTCCACGTCCTCGAGCGCGATCCTGAGATTCCATCTTCTCCACGATTTCTGTTGCGCCATTGTTGGTCTCCACGCGTTTTCGGACCTCTGCGTGCGAACGTTGTCTCGACGATCGACGTCGGCCGAGTCGGGTCACCGCACACCGACGACGACGACGTCGACCACCACCCTCGACCGTAATACACCATTGGCTCTTCTAAAGTCTTCTACTAGACTCGAGGCGCTCTGATAGACTTGGATTATATTCGTGGCGCTTGTTCGGGTTCTCGTCTGGTAGGTTCTGTGGGTGCAAGTTGGGACGAGTTTGCAGTTGGCTTTCGAGCCTTTCATTGACCGTATTATACATTGCCCATCACAATGCTAATGCCGTCCAGATTTCGACTGGATAAAGGCGTTTGCCGACACATCCTTTGCCTCTTGGATCATAGACTTGTCTTGTAAGTCGTCCTGCAAAATACCTGCTGATAGGCCACTGTCAGTCATACATATGATCGCATCCGGATGCTGACATACCTAGAGGCTTGGTTTCTTGCAGCCCTCAATAGAACAGGCTTGGGACATATACCATTTGTTAGAATACGGTTGGATTTCGGTCGTGGTGAGTCGTTGTGCTTTTCCTAGTCGTCATGTCAGCGTTGCGTTCGAATGAGCATTCAGTTGCGGTCAGCTGCCACTGTACCCCTGTTTGAGTGCAAATGCAGGATTACTCCATCAAGTATGGTTGTCGAGAACATAATCTCGTCGAGTGGGTCGAAATTCGAAATCGAGAGGCGTGGGTGGACGACCTTGGATGGTTCGTGGGCGTCGTCGCTCCCGCCATCGTTCCCAGGTCCGGCCGCAGAAGATCATCGCAGCTCCTATGATACAACACATGGGTTGCTGCGGCGTCCGCCAGTGTATTCTTGACAAAGGAAACAGTTACAGGTGGATGAAGAAACTTTTAAAGACAATTGATAGTACAGTGTGGTTGAGGAGTGGATGAGTGAAGACGAGGAGAGTCAGAAGATGAGGAAATCACCAAGACCGCAATCATTGCGACGGGCAGCCACGCCGCCTCGCGGCCTCGCGATGGGAAGGGACACGGCAACCATCTGATCTGATTCGAATGCTCTGCTCACTGATGTGCTCGCTGATATGCACGCTATGGAATAGGATGGACGTGGTGCTAATGCTATCGTAGTAAAATACAGAAATCGCTCGGTCCTAATCCGGGTGTCGAGCCCCTTGTCTTGCTCTCTGCTTGGTTCTCCGACTCCAGGAGCCCACTGCCAAGGCGAATAGAATTCTCCTGTTTCGACAGCAGAAAGTCAGCCTTAAGATCAGTTCGTCCGACCTCAATAGGTAGGGGTATTGGCTGCCGTGAACAGAGCGTTTTGACTGTGCTCGGGTGCACCTATACGAACTACACCACACCCCCTACCTACTCACGATCTCGCGGATCCATCCGGAATCTTTCGGAACCTTTCACTCACTTACGGAACTTGCTTAAGTTTATCACTTCAGGATATCTTTTGGTTCCTCTTGAATCAACAGGTTTCCTCTCTCTTGAACGCCATCTGAGATCCTCCATCAGTGCTTTCACAGCTACGCACACCTGGTATCGCTCATTCTCCGACTATCCTTCTAGTTTCTACTTCCTCTCACCCATTACTTTTTCATCCACGATCTCGATCAAGCCACACACGATTTCATCCCGTCATCCCTTCCCTTCGCGCCATCAAGCCAAAAGGAGGTGGTGAAATCACGTGACAACACCCTGTTCGCGTTCCATGCACCCTCGACATGATGGATTCAAAACAGCCCTTCAATTCGGCATCTTTTGGCAATAGGATGGAGAGGAAGAAAACTCCAGATTCGGAGGCATTGACGTCCTCTGATGAAGAACGAGACTTCGCCGCCCCGATCAAGCGAGTGTCCTCTCAGCCATGGGGTCGTGAGATTCCTGGGCTGGGGCGTCCTCAACCTCGAAGCTCCTTCGATTCACTTGGATTGGATCGTTCTGGTATTTGGGGAAGACCTCAACCGCTTGGTAACGTCCCTGAGGAAAGTGTCTCCCACGGCGCCCAAAGCAAGATCCCTTTCGCATACCCTCTCCAACCCGTGATGAAGAACACACGATCTCAATCCTACAGCGTCGGACAGCTCGAAGGCGCTGATGATGATGCCACTGGCTCCTCCGAATTCCGACCCGCGAACCTCGTGCAGCGTCCAAACTTGTACAAGCGAGGTTCGCAGACGCGATTCGACGATTCTCAAGCGAGCCGCCGAGGCCGACCTCCGCTGTCAGGAGGTCGTCCAGTCTACCGCCGACCCGATTCCCGTCCCGCACGTCACGATTCGCAAGATCGACCCACCCCGCGTCCCGACACCGCCGGCACTGACATCCACTACTTCGACACGATGGCCACCCAGTGGGATCCGACCCCCGAAGCTGGATCGACGCTTGATAACTCGTGGCCTCAGCAGTTTGCTCGACCGCATGACTTGACCCCTGGCGGGCAAAGCACGGGATCCCAGGGATCGGTGATACCCCCCGGACTTCTCCCTGGCCAGGAAGCACCGCCACTCGACTACCTTTCTACATCCCGCGCCCCGCTTCCAGGACAATATGAAGAAACTACTGACGGAGCAGGTCGAGGCACTAAGGGCATGTGGCAGTCCTCATTGGGATTTGGGAACTTCCCTGAACCTCCTCAGAGCCGAAGGCACTCCCTTGCGGATGTTCCTGCAAGACCAGGAGCACAGCTGGCTATCCCCTCTACTATGGCTCTGTCGACTCGTTCACCGTTGCATCGTGAACTGACCGCCCTTCATGTGGGTGAAGGGGTGGCACAACGTCATGGTCACACGCACGAGGGCATCGTCGAGCCGACGATCACAGACACCCAACCCACTGATGGTGAGTCCGTTTTCATTCCTTCACACATGCACTATCGTTGCCTATTCCGGAATCTTCCATCGCAAACCCCCTCACTTCTTCTGCTTCTTCTGCTTCCAACTTCAACTTCTGCACCACTGGTTTCATAATACCAGCTTTCTTTGATCAAGTACAACCAACAGCACATCCTGATCACTCACTCATCGATGATATCAATCGTTCTGATCTCCTACATCACCACTGTCATCTTTCGCATCGTGGAAGCAGACCTCACCAGAATCATTGTTGTGCTATGTATAGCCTACTACTGATCTGTGATCTATCTACGCCTGCACTACGACCTGTTACACACAGACTCGTTGTGACTTTGGGCTCTGAAAATAGACACTCAGAGATTCCTTAAATCACATAAAGATGCAGTAATTCTCAATCACTCTCATTGCCATCAAATTCCACACCATTCCGCACTGATCATCACACCTCCATCTCAGTCCTTTTCCTCCCTTCCTCTTTCGTCAACCGTTTCTACACATTCAACACGCAAGGAATTCCTGAAAACCTCTTTCAGTTGATTATATCCGTTGATTATATCCTCTTGTTCACACTGAGAGCATCCTTTTCTCACTTTTCAATTTGTCAAATTCATTTTTACTGCGACATCGCTTCGCGTTTACTGCGAGCTCACCACCCCCCGACTCCCACTTCACTTCGCCCTATCTCCTACACTCCACTTTCTCATCATGGAACACAATCACACCCGTCAGTCGTCTTACGAGGGTCGCCTCCATCTGGATGGCATCTACAATCCTGATTGCATCATGAAGGAAAACGTCTCTATGATCGAGGCTCACAGTTATCAATTCGCAGCCCGGTACTTCAGCGGCCAAGCCACCATGGCTCGTCTCCAGCACGAGGCAGCCGAAGAACGTCGCCTCAACGAAGAACATCGTCTTGTCAATGTCGATACGAACCCTCGCGGCACCTTCGGACCCAAGATCCTCTACGCCGTCGCCTTCAAGTGCGACCGCATCGACGTCTACCACGTTCCGGAATCCGTGGGCCTGCGACCCAAAGTGGGCGACATGGTGATCGTCGACGGCGACCGCGGAACGGATCTCGGCTGCGTCACCGCCGCCGGGATTTCCGTCGAAGAAGCGAAGGTGGTGAAGGAGAAGTCCACGCAGAACCACATCCGCTGGCTCCTCATGTTCTCCCGCAAGTTCGCCGGCGCCAGTCAGATCCGCGCGCCCGAAGGCCTCATTCCCGGAGCCGTGCCGAACGACGTGGAGAACGCCGCGCAGCAGATCGTTCAGAAACGCGCAGAGGTCCTCGGCTGCAAGATCTCTGAACTCGAACTCCGACCCAAGCTCATTCGCCGCATCGCCAACGCGCATGAGATCACCCAGCTGCAAGAGAAGGAAGGCATGGAAGCCAAGTCCCGCCGCGTCTGCCAGACCAAGGTCGATGAGTATGGTCTCGAAATGGAGGTGCTCGATTGCGAGTTTCAAGCGTACGTCCCCCATTCCCTTGATCCCTCTCCTCAAGCACATCTCATCTTCTCCCTCTCCCGGAATTTCGCCGCGCTTTGCCCGACCTCTCGCCCATTGGCCTGGTGTGTTGCCTGCCACACTTCACTTGCACCAGTCACTAGGGCTGGACACGAATAAGGATTTTGGCTATTCGTATTCGACTTTTCCCTGGGAACGATTATTCGTATTCGACTAAATTTCGAGACGTTTTATTCGTATTATTCGCGAATATTCGTAAATAATGCCAAGACTTATTCGGCAAAAGCCGAGCCAATGAATGAATGCCCAGCAGTCGCGACTTTTGTTTACCCAACATGCTCCAACTAGAGGATTTGAGCTCTAAGAGATACAAAGCATATCAATATGTTGCAACTTCTTTCTTAATATGGATGACTTATCCATGTCTCTTGGGAAGCGCCGTCTTCGCTCCGAGAGAGTTGATTATCATCTTCTTAATGATGGC